AGCTCTCAGTATATTAATCTAACTAAGGTTGTACAACAATGTTATAGATGTATTCATAAACTTCTCTTTTTTTTCGACAAAGAAACGTTTTTATTAGTAGTAAGTACTTTTATTTCATTCATAATTTTACTTGGTAAGCAATTTTATTACAATTAATGAAACAAAAAACTATCGTAGTCAAGRACACTTGCAAATTCAGCAAAATGTAAAACTAATTTTCCTCGAATATTTTCTGTTTTTAAACGATTTGAATTGGAATTCCAATAGTTTACTCCTTACAAAGAAAGAGATTTTTGCAGTRAGTCAACCGTTATTACGCCATTGTTGGAGATCAGGGAAACCCGTTCATATCGTAAACACCTTTTGATCTTTGACTCGGTAGACTGCGAGTGGCGCCAGGTGGCCGCCGCCATCTTGAATCCAAACGCGACTGCGAAAAGCGCGCGAAAATTATAGCCAATCAAAGAAAGACACGGAATGACACAACAGAATCGTGAAACGCCCCACTAGCAATGTTCACAAGAGTTTTCGGGTTGAATTTGTTAACAGAAAAGRTATTTTAATGGCATTTCAATGTTTTAGGATGAAATTATGTACAAGCAACAACCGGTCGGTCGATCTTTTGTGCTCTCGTTGTTGTTGGTTAATTATTCATCACAAACGAGAAAGAAAAATGTCAAACAAATATTGAAGAAAATGAACTGTGAAAAARCACTGAATTGGAGAGAAAGGTTTTGATTTTCACTCCTGTTTTTGCTCGAGTGATCATTGTTTTTGAGTTCAGTGATTGTTCAATGCTCACTATAATTAATAAAACCTAATAACCTTTTAGACGAGAAAAAAAGCTCTAAAGCTTGTAAGAGAACTATAACCTGTATATTTGAAAGGCGCTTACATTCCAATTTGTAATCAATCGAACGGCCCAAACTTTAGACCCCAGTAATAAATCTAACCTGAATCATAATTTTCTAATTCATATGAGTAATAATCGTATTATAAATTGCTCATATAATTTACTAAATAGCTACATTAATGCTATTTCTTAAAGCTTTGATTAAGTACAAAGTAAAGTAACTCGATATCATTTTTCAAAYCTCACCAGTTTGTCCAGATTGTACTAGTGCCAAAGCACATATTGCTAGAATTGCTAAGTTCATAATTGAAGTAGAAAATTGCTAGTTGCTTTTGTCCCACACTTGATATTCTTGTTCTTTTATAGTATGGTCAAAGGGCCGCCGAACGCCCGTGTTTGAAGCTTGATATAACCCTCTAGAAATCTGTTAAAGTAAAACAGGGAAATCATATGTTTGTGTTGTTGCGACGAGCTGACTTGACTGTTGAACCGGTGTACCCAAACCTGCTAMGATAGATGGTGGCAAGAAGAGAGGCACTTTACGCGATCAACATCTCGAACGACGCTATATTCGTGTATAATTATAARAAAAWTGAAATTTTCTTGGCTAATTTCATTCAAAATAATTCKAATTTACTGTCTGCAAAGGTACCAAGTTTGAAGATGAAATCCAGAAAGTTTAGACGTTGAAAACACAGCTTTGTGAGAAAAAATCTTTTTGACGTTTTCACGCACGAAAAAAAAAATAGTGTCAGTTTTCTTTGTATTAGAAATTACCTTGTGAAAAATCTTCTCCGTCAAAGAAGAGGACGAATTATCACAAATACACTGATTACAAATTTTGATTCGAGAAATGATATGGTACCATAAGCATTAGACGTAAAATTCCAACGGTTAGATGATCAACGTACTCCTCTTCTAAGCCATCCATAGAATCAACATCACTGAAGGTTAACCAACCAATAAATCCACCACGACCTACCTTTTGGTTACACAAGTCTTCCTATTTTACTGAAATTATGATCGGTTTATCGCGGCAACCAAAGCGCCATCTTTCTGTCACTGCCTTTCACTCTAAGTTTGGTAAATTTTCGATTCCTTTGTTCTGTTCTGGTGTTCGCGCACGCGRAGTACCAGGGCCACGTATGTAATCAAATAATCCGCGTTTGTTGGTGTTGATCGGACTGGTTTCTCCAATTAACGTGTGGCTTCTAAAGCAGCAAATAAAAAACATAAAASTACTTGAACTACTTGAACTAAATTTGAACAAAAAAAAAATTTTCCAACTCAGTTCAAAAGTTACTTTGGCAACGCAATTTTTAACGAAGAAAAATTTTTATGTCTTTTGTAAATTGAAAATCATAGACCTTATTATATTCKGATTGCTTAGTCTTTTTGTAGTTTAAACTCAGCTTTCTTTACCTTTTTCTTTTAGGTTTTAGCTGTCGGTTAGAAGTGTTAGGAATCTTGAAATCATTTTAAATCTTGATTGTTGTGGATTTGYTCTTTAAATGTAAGCAGGTAGATTCAWTGTCACAAGATAAACACAGCTCTCGTCTTTCCTCCAAACAATRCCTTCTATACTAAAAAAAATACTCAGAGACCTTACTAAGAAKTCAAAGTGTCGTACTAGCGTAAAATGTGTGAAGTTAATACCMTCCGGGTGCTTTTMGCAAGACTTTATTCAACAGTTTTTTGMTAGCTCTTTTACAAAGTTCAAAAGATCACAGAGGAACACGGGTTAAGAGGCGAAAGGCCACTTGTGGTCTGGTGGCAAAACTGAAGTTTTCTCAGGATTTCTATACACGAATGTAGTGTGAAATCTGGTTGCATTACTTAGATCATTAGATCATAAACAACTATAGTTACTTGTCCTGAGTTGAAAACTGATGATACTTTGTATAAACTTCCCAAATAATGCAATCTACTATTAGTGTGACTATTGCATGTCAAGATTTTTCTCTTTTTTCTCTCTTCTCCTATCTATTGTGTTTCCCTTTTTAACTCTTATTCTTTCTTCTCATCTTTTGCCTTCAATTCTTTATTTTCTTCTCTTCTCTTTTCTCTTCCTTGTCTCCTRGTTTTTCCCCTCTCGTTTGTCTCATTTTTTTCTTTCTCATTTCTTTTTTCCTCCTCTTGTCTTATCCTTCCCGTCTTTTCTATTCTCATTCATTTTCTTTTCTCTTTTCATTTCTAGGCCTGAAATAATGAAATGACTKGCTAGTCTTTACTTGTGTCTCAAATGAATTGTACACTATCCGCTAATAAGCAATTGTACAATGAGTAGGATATACCAACTGGATTTATAAACACAAAGTGCTGTTAGGTGGTGCTTCTACGTCTTTCCGTGTGAGCAGAGCMTGCGAATTAAACCTAGGACACAATCAATCAGAGTAAACTTGAATTTTCTTCAAATTTTATTGAAAATTTGCCAATCAAGCATTATCTAGTTTTTYCTATTTAGTTAAACATCTTATCTGATACTTTGATTTTATTAGAATTTGAGTATTTGTTTATATCATATAGCAATTTTTGTCGAATATATCGAGCGTTTTCATTGCAGGTCAACTTTCTGCAGCAATTTTTTTATTGGAAAATCGTGCGCTTTCATTGGTCAARAAACAATTGATAGTTCATATAACGCGGGTAACCATTGGTCAATATAACAAAAGCAATTTAATATAACGCGCGTTATCATTCGTCAATATAACAAAACACTTAATAAAACGAGCTTTCTCATTGGTTGATAAAGTGTGACAATTCATACTAAATATAACATCAGTTGTCATTGGTCGATTGATGCTAAAATAACGCGCCTTATTACTGGTCAATATAAACTTGCTGAACTGTGCAATAAAAACAAACTATGAGTTGGTTACTTAGTAGTTGAATAACTTTGTTTGTTGTAATTGCTATTCTGTGATTAACGTACAGACATTAAAAATGTGCAATGTTTAGCATTTTAACTGGCATTTTCAAACAARAGAAAACAACGGACCGTGAGCATTATTTTGCTCTATGTATTTTGCACATTTTTTGTGTTTGTACTTTCCTAGGCTGRATTGCTTTGTGCGCAATAATATCAATTTGCCTACACTATTTATGACGTAATGTACAACTTACAATTTTCTTTTTAGAGCAAGTTGATTATTTCTATGATACAACCTTTTGCGATCGATATATATTCGTGAGCGATCGATAAAGGATCGACAAAACTTCTTATTTAACTTTAACTCGGGARGGTTTATCATAAACCATAGTCCTCGTTCAGGTATTGTCTTGTAGAATTTTTTAACTCTTAACGATATTTGTAGGATGTCAAACCGTGGGTAAATGGAACGACCATAATGAGATAACGCACTTGATAGGAAAGAGCACATAAAGATTAATCAAACCCTGAATTTTAGTCTTTTATTTCTAGGCTATAAAGCACTGACGAAATACTCCTTAAAATACTCAAATTTGAGGTTKTGCGTGATGCCTCATTGCTTGGCAGGAAGATTTCCTGACGAAAGAATCTACTTCAAGAAGGACGATAAATTCTTCATGATCATGCAGCTTGGCGACRGAAGTCGCTTGAAAGTGACAAAATTCTTTAGCCAAAAGAGCTTCAGGAATTGAAATCGTTTCATGTGCCCTTTCCAACTACATATTCGTAGTTTGACATGCTTCTTGTCATTATTAGCAATGAATTGTTCAAAACATAAAAAATAAATGCATTATTACGTCCTAGTTTCCTAACGGTTTTCATAACGGTGGAATGATCTACCCCTTATATCCGAGCTTAGCGTAAAAATGTTTCAAATAGTTATTGTAGGCCTCTGCCATTTCCTTTACRCGAAGCGCTTGCTCTCTCTGTACCTCGTAAGGGTCCCCTGGTATAGAATTGTCTTGTGGCTGGGCTGTCATATACTCGTARACATGCGAGTTTTGTTCTTCTTCCTCTTCTTTGGCAGATTTCTCTCTTTCCTCACTCGGCAATTCGTCGCTGTAAGCACCAGATGCAGGGTTTGACTGAGAGCTATCGGATTGATTCGATGGCTGTGTGTTCTCTCTGTAGGGCGTTGATTGGTTGCTTTGTCCAGAAGCTGCATAGGTTTCCGATGAACTGGATGTTTGATAGTTTTGTGGATGCGACTGGTCGGTGGTNGTCTGTTCCGGTAGCAGAATTTGTGGAAGCTTGAGACGATTCTGGTGAGGAGTTCCCTGAAGTCTGGTACGAGCTTGTACTTGGCGTTCTAGTAGTAAAAACTTGGGAAGAGTCTGAGACTGTCTGTGCTGCATTTGTACCTGGAGCAGGACTTCCAGACGCTTGTCCCGAGTTTGTGCTCGGAGCAGGACTTGAGGAAGCCTCAGCTGAATCCGTACTTGGAGGAGAACTTGCAGAAGCCCCTGCCGAGTTTGTGCTCGGAGCAGGACTTGAGGAAGCCTCAGCTGAATCCGTACTTGGAGGAGAACTTGCAGAAGCCCCTGCCGAGTTTGTGCTCGGAGCAGGACTTGAGGAAACCTCAGCTGAATCCGTACTTGGAGGAGGACTTGCAGAAGTCCCTGCCGAGTTTGTGCTCGGAGGAGGACTGGACGAAGCCTCAGCCGAGTCTGTACTTGGAGAAGGGCTTGCAGAGGGCTGGGAGGAGTCGCTGTCTGAGCTATCAGAATTATCCTCCTGAGAAGATTCTATACTTGCAGAAGAGCTGGCGAGAGTCTGAAGCAATTCTTTGGTTGAGACAGTTGGCCTCAGCTGAATCCGTACTTGGAGGAGGACTTGCAGAAGTCCCTGCCGAGTTTGTGCTCGGAGGAGGACTGGACGAAGCCTCAGCCGAGTCTGTACTTGGAGAAGGGCTTGCAGAGGGCTGGGAGGAGTCGCTGTCTGAGCTATCAGAATTATCCTCCTGAGAAGATTCTATACTTGCAGAAGAGCTGGCGAGAGTCTGAAGCAATTCTTTGGTTGAGACAGTTGGGCTTGCAGACTGAGATGTGTRAGCGTTTGTTCCAGTACTAGGATTGGATGTCTCAGCTGTGGRAGGACTCCCCGAAGCCTTCGTCGAATCACCCGTCGATTGAAGTTTAGATAAAGATTGTGATTCAGTATTTCCGTTTGTTAATGGGCTACTGGAGTCCTGTGGGGGTGGTGGTTTGCTTGAGTTTGAACCAGCTASTTGTTCTGGTGTCATCTTGATAGGTAGTGCTACAAATCCGGTATTATTGACGATAATGGACGATTCTGTACCTTTATCTACCGGTTCCTTAGTTCCCTCTCCTACAGGTTGAGCGACTATCACGACTGGAATAGACTTGTCTGAGGGCGCRGGAGTAGGCGCTGTCTGGTTCCATGTCCATGGCGGGCCTGTCGCGTTGGCCCATGTTTGTGYTGTTGGTTTGGTAGTTGGTGTTGTGGTTTGGTTTGGTWCTGGTAAAGGAGCTGGTGCAGGACTACCGTTTCCATTACTTGTGGCTGGTGGGACTGCATTACCTCCGGTGTTTGSTGTMMCAGAGRTACTTCCACTYCATGGTGCAACAGSGTTACTTCCACCGCATGGTGCAACAATGGRGTTTCCGCTACATGGCGAGACAACGCTTCCGTTCTGAGGAGSAGGATTTYCCGTAGGTGGTGCGCAGGACGAAGGTGGAGTAATTCCATTCGACACTTGRCCTTGACCTTGAGTTGCTTGTGGTTGTGGAGTATTAGCCACATTTGTTGTG